ATTACCCCAAGCTGAAGAGGTCTATTGGAACTTGTCTGGTCAAGTCTTTGCTATGCAGGTCATATTGACCGGCAACATTGAACCAGAAACAAGGTATGACTGAGCTGAAAGTTATATTTCCGTCGTTTTAATTAGACTAGGCAACTGCAAATAACTACCTGCAAATAATTTTCTGCTCATCCACAAATAATGCAAAGCTATTTTGCTGCAAATAATACTCTGCTCATGTGCAAAATGGCTTGCTTCCCTGTGACTTGGTATGTTTGATAGACAGCAAAAACCACGAGAACAAAAAAAGAAAATGGAAAAAATATTTGGATGATAAAACAATTATGACATGAGATTGAGATAATTTATGTGATTTGTTAGTGACGAGCAAGCAATAGGCGACTTGCATTAAGGGGTCACATGATCAAATCGGCCATTGTGGCTGGCATTCTACATGATTTTAGCTATGCAAGAATTTTTGCTATTAACTCGGTGAAACACTTGGTAGGTCTTCACGTCCTAGCGCAAAAAAATACCATAATTTTTCCCTTCGAGTTAAAAATCTTAAAAAATCTACTTAAGATATCACTAAGAACACATTTCGTGCAAGAAAAGGGGATCTTTTATCGTTATTTATTGCGCTAACTTACCTTTTATCACCCAAAAATCTACTTGAAACCACCATCTTTTATTACATCTTTGCATAGCTAAAATCATGTAGAATGCCAGCCACAATGGCCGATTTGATCATGTGACCTCTTAGTGCAAGTCGCCTATTATTTGCCGATGCCTCAACCTTGTCCAATAATTGTTTAGTTTCTGCATGGTAATTATCTGTTATATTTGAAAGTTTATTTTTTAGAAGCTGTTTACTAGGGAACATGGCGATTTGTATATAATTTATATTACACTCCAACACAAATAATTCTTAATCTGACATTAGCTATCTAAATTTAGATATTAGCAAAGTACTTATGCAGACACACATACTTGCACGTAAAAGCATGCAAGTACATCAAAACTGATCACCTGTTTGAGATTTGTGTGATAGAAATTAATTGACCATACTGATAGACAACATTATGGAAATTTAGATTATTTATGAATATCTACTTTTATTACTTATCGAATTATCACAATGGTTAAAAAAGAAAAGAAAAAAGAAAAAAAAAAAAAAAAGTCACCCAAGACTGTAAAACAGAAGCAGAATCATTGTAATTTGCATCTAGCCTAACTTAGATTTTTTCAAATCAAAGTTACACTACTTTCAAACATAAAATTTTACCTTAGACATTAATTGATAAGTAATAGACCTATCCCGAATTCGCTTGACTGTTCTCGAAACATTGGTTTCAAGTCGAGGTTGAACTTGATGAATAAAAGAATCAAGTCCAGTCTCAACTTCAAACCATTGTTTCGTGGTCAGTCAAGGGAATTCGGGATAGGTCTATTATGTACAATGTTTGCATCYACTCTGTATGCGCTTTACATTGGTTCTTCTCCACCCAATCATAGGAAATACCCTTATTCAACTCATAATAATAATTTACAAGGAAAACACATAAATCATGTCCCTGAAGAGTTTTGTATACACCTAATTGAGAAAACGTTGTCGGGTTCAAAAAAAGGTTATGTCATCAAAGCTAAGACCGAAGGGGAGCATGGGAAGACAAACAATTATGCTAATTTCATGCGTATTGCAGTTTTCCCTTCCTGTGAACATTTTATGCATGCTTTGGCATGTTGTTAATCTAGGTCGACCGACTTTGCTCTACTGTGCATTTTTACATGTCTATATGCAAATATAATACACATTTCGAAGTACCAAAAATCCTTTTCAGACTTAGCTTTGATGATATGACCTTCTCGAACCCGACTGTTTTTTCAATTAGGTGTATCAGATAACAAAGTCCTATTCATTTTCATATTAAACTTAGATTTTCCCAGTAAAACGTAACTAGATCTAATTATGTACCCAAACAATGAATAAGACAGTGGTTTACAATAATATTTGCAACCACGTTGTGTCAGATTTACAATCACTCTTCCGGCTCATGTCGTAAATCTGATACAACATGGTGCTCACGCTGTGAATATTACAGATAAGTCACTCATGTTGTACTTGTATACATCCTACAACATTGATGCAATTTACCACTAAGACTCTTTACAAAGAAATATTTGATTTTTATACTTTAAAATCGCAAACAGCTTAAGTCCCTGACCATTTCAAATTCCATTTATATCATGTTGAATTAATGAGTGGAGTGCAATTTGGTCTGAAATCAAATGTGCAATTACAAAATCACACAACCACGTAGCAGGAGTGCAATTTGTAATTGCAAGTTTGATTTTAGACCAAAATTGCATGACACAAAGTTCAATATTACCACTTAATCATATCCTTTTTGTAATCACACACGAAAAAGACACAATCAAGAGTGCAGAATAATCAATTTAATATAGTAGAAGAACTAAATGCGACTTTTTTTTTGTTTTATTTTGTTTTATTTTATTGTTTAAAAAAATTTTTTTTTTAGGATGCAATTAAGAGCTCCTAAGGATGCGATTTGGGAATTAATCGCACTCCTTAGAACCAATCAGATTGCAGGATTTGGTAGTGATTACAAAAAGGATATAATTAGGATAGATGTTAAAGTAATATTTGGTATAAATATTAGTTTAATATTAATTATGGTGAGTTGTTACCCCAATCCTTATGATATTAAAAGCACTTTCGTATTTTTGTACATATCTTATATTAATAAAGTATTTACACTTAAAGTATTCAGTCTTATTATTTTTTTAATTTTTACTCTACTTTGAATTATTGCCCTATTTCGCTATGACGTCACTGCTTGTTTATGTGGGGGATAAAATCGCCAAATCCAATAGAAAATTCAACAAAATTTGCTCCTTGCAAAACAGCTTAATCTAAAATGGCCTGGTTTTCAAATATAATATGTGTTAATGCGTACTAAAAAATATTCTCAGCGTTTACTGGCTATTCTACTTCTCTTTGTGGATTGATACGGGTTTTAGAACAATTTTTGGTGAATTTGCGTTGATTTGACCCCGTCCGATGACCATGATCCTTCGCAATAGATTGTTGAAGATTGTTTTGATGCGACRTCATAGAGAATTAGGGCAATTTTACATAGGTATAGCATATAAAGATAGCATTGTAATGACAGTATAAATAATATTGCATCATCAAATGCAAAGAAAGATAGACTATATCCTATGCGAATGTGACTCCACCTACGAAAACATCTGGCTGCCATCATGTGAAGGTGCAAAGCCTCTGCATGATAATATTAGGCTTTTTAACTGTTATAATTTTGGTATAGTTTTTGGATATAATTTGAAAGTGTTAATGGCACCAGTTACTTATTGTTTAATATTTAATATACAAACTCTTATGTTAATTTGTTTAATTGCAGCCAGATTTTCTTTATAATTACAAAATTCTGGAGAAAATTTACTCGCAGAACAACGCTGTTGTTCTATTTTGTAATTCTATGCCATAAGAAGCTTATGTATACTTTCTATTATATTTACACTGTAAATGTGCTCACTGGGTCATGGTTTGAGAATGGCTTTTATTTATCTCTCAATAGCAGTCAGGTTATTGGAAAAACCGAGGATTACAACTCCAGTATTTTGAGAGAAAAATTCGAAACCTCTTTTCTTCTTTTTTTAAACGTGATCTTAGCTTGGGAAAGTAACTAAAAGCATGTAAAGTATATGTATAACAACAGTGGAATGCCAATACCTATTGTGTAGTACTCATTGTTATGGGTCAATATTCAAGGTAGCCATGACGATGTATTATTGGCTGTTATGTTAACACCAGGGGGGTGCCTGACAGGCATTGTCATTCAAAACACTTTCTATTATTTTAAGAACTATTGCTTTGCATTTAAAGTTTTTTTTTCGTGACCTCAGACATTGACACTCCCAGGGATTGTCAGATCAAATTATTTTTTATTTTGGTTTGTAATCTAACGTTCTATTTTCTTTAGTATGAAAAAAATCCGATCCCTAATAAAGCATTTGATTTAGAATTATTTGGGATTTTAAATATTTTTTTTAGAAATTTATATTTTTTTAATCATTTTTTTCAGCTAAAGTTTTGAATTACTCCGCTTACAGAAATTCCTAATTTGAAAGCTCTCAAATCAAAGAACGCTAACCAATTTTCAAAACCACATTGACACACAAGTTACTGATCAAACAGACAAACGCGAAAATAATTTTGACCTCATACAATTTTTTTATGACATAAAACTGTCCGACATGACAACTGAAATAGAATGCGGAACAAGAGTTCGTGTTACCCCGTCCCCCTGTCAGTATCCTAAATGTCACGCTTCGTCCCCCTCCTGTCTGGCAGTTGTCCTGAGTTTTGTTCGCCCACGGTACGGCAATTTGCCGAAGTCAAAGTTTGTAGCGCTACCGTTTTGAATTTATACAGAATAGAGGCATAGAATACTGGTACGATAAAGGGAAAAGCGCTCTTCTTCCACGATGTCTGGAGAATCGTAAGTATCTTGCGAGCTTGAGTTTTGCAATCTAGTTTTTTTTACCTCAAGTTGGGGATATTTTTTTCGCAGGGTTAAGGTAGCCGTCCGAGTCCGGCCCTTCAATTCCAGGTACGTGTATTGAATTTCTGCATTCAGATTCATTTTCTCTGCTTCAAAGACTAATATTGAATTATTTTTTTCAGAGAGAAAGATCGTGGTGCAAAATGTTGTCTCGACATGATGGGCGCTTTAACCCAAATCCGCGATCCAGAAGCAGGAGGTACTGTACATATCTTCCAAGAGTTTTAGGAATGTTGACATTTCCAAATACTCACAAAACCATATTTCACAATCCGAGATTTCCACTTTTTTTATTCTAAAATATATTTTCTATATTATATTTCAGCGGGTGCGCCTCCAAAAGACGTAAGTTATCTTGAACTTATGCCATATTTTGTCAAATTTGCTGAACATTTATATTCGCACCCCATCGAGGAGAACTCGTTTATTAATTAATCTAATCCAAAAAATATATWTCCTAGACAATATTAACTTTCTTTACTCTCTGTTTTTCTGTTAGTTCACATTTGATTTTTCCTACTGGTAAGTATTAATGATGTTACTTATTATTTGGCAGTTTAGTGGCTTTATCGTACATTAAAAAACTCATCGTAAATGCATTTATCCTTTGATTCTTGCCTAGTTACCTTCGGTACCTATATAAACTAATGCATATATTATTGACTAGCAACTAGATGGCGGATATACTTCTGTCCCCAAAAACTTCTAATATATAAATTTCACTTAATATTTCTTCAAGAAAAGTTCAGCCATATTCTCTTGAGATCTCATCTGTTGTTGTCAAAGTGATAAGTGATTTAGGTGACAAGATTTTTTATGTGATTCAAGGTCTCATGATGGGTGGAAAGAGGATGAAAACGGGTATTTACACCCTGCAAATGATAAATACGCTGATCAGAGAAAGGTTTTTGACGATCTTGGAGCTGGTGTATTGAAAAATGCCTTTGAAGGTTAGAAACGTTGTTCATATGTCTTATCATTGAAAATTACTTGTGCTTCGTTCGTTTATTTTCATGTTTTTGTCAATGTTTACTTTGAAGGAAAAGCTAAATTGAATTTTGAGCATTCAAGGGGATCAAAAAACACACTGCTGGCAAAGGGATACTAGATAAATTAGGTAGCTTTGATGCTGGAACTTTTGTGCTCAAATCTTAATTTCAGGTCATACGTTAAGAAAAAGGGGGCAAAATTAATGGAAAAGTTGAATTTTTTGTTAAACGTTAATTGTTTTCAAATGTTCACTAACTCCCTCATACATGTAATTTTTCCCATTAACTATGCATTCATGACTAGGTAGAAAAAGAAATAAAGTTAGATTATTAAGGAATAGAGGTGTTCTCTACAATAATTCATCTTGCTATATAATATTTGAATTGAAATTCTAGTTCGTTTTGATGAAGTGAAGTTTAATATGTCTGGCAGAATTAAAGATAAAGAATTGATTGACAGCGAATAAAGTTATTTGTTTCGAGTTTTGTTACTAAGTACAAATCAAAATTATTAAAGAAAGAAACAAATAAAAAGTAGCCCAAACATCCTGCTTTTGCTCGTATTAAAAAAAAGATGAAACAAAATGCATTCAAATGAAATGTTAATCAGCTTTTTTTTAAAGCCTTGGTTTCCTTATTGGACTTGAGAAAGTAAATAACTATGAAGTGCTTGTCGTTTTAAGAGAAACCTAATTGCCGCAGACTTTTATTTACATACATGTCTTGTCATATGGATGTTTAGTATCTCTGCATGCCATTATGATTCTATCTTAAAACACTGTTACATTGCTCTTGATCTGCGTCATCCATTAGCTTTTCTTCTCTGAGGTCATTTGATGTCTTTAAACAAAACTATACAACCTTTTAAAGAAAAAAATAATGATACTGTAATAAAATTGGAAAAATCATGCTGATTATGACATCAGTGTTTAAATAGTACTTCAATAAATCCTGTTTTGTGGGCTTACCTATGCAAACAAGAGAAAAATGTAAATTTTTTTTGTTTGTTAACTYTTTTTTTCTCAGATTTTGGGATAAATAGATTTTCATGTAGCACTGTTAATCATATTTTAAAAGGGCAGAATAATTTTCACCCTTTTTTTAAATAGGAGATGAAATTTTTCAGTATCTCATAGCAAAAGTAAGAAAACTCTGGAAAAAGCCATAGTCCCTGATATTAAACCAATGGCCTTCCATATTCTTTTCTGATGCTCTACAATGTACCGAGCATTACATTTTTAAATTTATTTTTTAGGTTTTTGTTGCTATTTTTATTCATGTCAAAGTTCATACCTTCTCTCTTGAAGTTTAATGACTTTATTAGAATTGTCTTGTCACTCATAGACTTGAATTTGAACCAGACATAGCGAAGCTTTCCAATGGTTTAAGACGCAAGCAAATAAATTGTCATTTTTATTGATGACACTAAAGCAGACACAATATCTACTCACTCCTCCCCTCCATATGCTAAACAGGGGGGGTATGAAGAGATGATTATTATCAGATTGTTGTAGTTTGAGGAAATGCCATGAAACACCTTTGTGACACCCTTGTGTGACACCCATATTCTTCATCGTGATTGGTTGATTTTCCTTGGCGGGCCAAAAAAAAAAGGTCATACCAAATTCAAAAAAATCTTTCCATTAAGTACCATTCACCAAAATAAGTCAATGGTAATTTTCATGGAAATATTTTATTATAATTCAAATTCAAGTTCTTTTTTGCCCACCAAGGAAAATCAACCGTTCTATTATCTATTATAACCTTTCACTAGCACAAATTCCAAAGCTGAAACAATTTTGTTTTTACCAAAAAATCTTCTCACTTTAGCTTTAATGATCATTTGAAATTTCTCTTTTTTTCTGCCTCCGGCATGCTTTAACAAAGTGGGTATTACAAAATTTGAAAAGTACTTCATTCAGGACATGATATTCATATCTTTTAGGTTTTAACTGCTCTTTGTTTGCGTATGGACAAACTGGTGCTGGCAAGTCTTACTCTATGGTCGGCTATGGAGTTAACAAGTAAGAAATGAAAACAAAGAAAGTTGCATGATTCGTAGAAGGAGGAAAACTGGAAAACTTGGAGAAAGCTGAGAGCTTAGAAAGTAGTGATCTTTTTTATAGGTAGCATGGGTGTGGCGTAGTTGTTGTACCCCCTCACCTCTCACTGCTGCGGTCCATGTTCGAGCCCCAGCTCAGACTGGACCATATTTGAGTTGAGTTTGTTTAATGTGGTGCTCTCTCCTTTGCCACAAGGGTTTTTCTCCATGTTCTCTAGTTTTCCTCCCTTTGTTGTAAATATAGAATGATAGTGATAGTGTGTGTGGAACAAGCCTCATGGACTAGYTCTGTATTGGGAGTGAGTAGCTATTGGATCTGTCTTTGAGTCTGAGGGATTTTACAGCTCTCACCTCTCAGCGATTGCAATTCACGCAAAACAAAAAATGCGCTTGATTCATTCGCTTGGCACAGTTAATCCACACGGGATGAATGAACTCTTCACGTTTAATTAGCCACTTCTCACCTACCATTATTATTTTCGATCCTTTTGTTCTCTTTTGTTTTTTGGATTGCTATTTTCTTATTGGTTTGTTTTCTCCCTACACCACTATATAAACCCCTCCATCATTCTCTTTCTCTCATTGACTCTGACGAGGGACTAACGTCTGAAACGTCAGTCTGCTATCTTTCATTCCTACGGTGATAAAATTATCTACTACGACAGATTTGATTGCTGATTCAGCTTTCAAGCCAACCCTAACCAATTCATACTAGTTACAGCTGTGCTCCAGGATTGCGATAACAAGTTTTTTTCCTGTGTGCAAATACCCACACAACCTATGTGCTCATTAGAATAGAGGCCTCATACATGTATAAATCACATGATGGCAGCCATGAAAGGAGGCACAACAATAGTCTTTTCCCCCCTTGGAAACTGAATTCTTTCTCATGTAAATCAGATTAGACCAGATTCAATTGTCATGGCTGCCATCACGTGATGGTGCAAAGACTGATATTTTTTGTTCTCATTTACAGGGGAATTGTGCCTATTACTTGTGATGAGCTGTTCAAGAGAATTGAATCCAACACTGACACAACAGTTGTGAGTATTAGATCCAGTAACAATATTCACCAAAGGTGAGGTGAATATCAGGGAATATTTACCAAGCAGAGAGGCTTTGAGCGATGAGGTAAATATTCCACGATATTTACTGAGGTGAATAATTGTTAGACTTAAATATAAAATAGTAGAGAAAAGACCAATTCAGGATAAAAAACGTTTTGGTATTACTTCTGCTCTGCCAAACTATGTGAAACCTCATAATTACTGCTAGGCAGTGGTTATTGACATCTCAGAATCACAAAACTCTAAATTCAGGTCTAAAATCGCATTAAAAAGAGGATATTACATGGGCGTGTGGTGCTCACTCGTGAGAGATCTTTTCAACACTCGAAGATAAATTTCGTATCTCCAAGCACCCATGTAATATTCTGTTTATTATATATTTATCCATAAATTCAACTTAATAATCTTTTTATTATTATAACTAACTAACTAGTAGCTTAAATACAGAAGGTAAAGATATTTTCACATGTGAAAATACCAGTTTTTTTGAAAAGGAGAAATATAGGTATTTTATGGATAATTATATGATAAATAGGGATATTCACTGTTTCCTAATATTGACGTTAGGAATCAAACTTATCTTATTAAAATGATAGCAATTGTACTATAAATTTTCTCTACTCCTAAAACTCAAAAAAGTACTTCAATACAATCTTGCACTTTACTGACAGCTATATCTCTTTTTCCCAGAAATTCCAAGTTACTTTCAGTATGTTGGAGATCTACAATGAACAAGTCCGTGACTTACTTTCCAAGGATAATCCAAAAGGGGGTCTACAGGTAAATAATTTATCAGCAAGATGATATAAAAGCTCGCGCCCATGGCGACATAGATGCACGAGAGAAAATATAAAGAACGATTAACAAGCGAAAGAGTGGCACGAGGCGAAGCCGTGATAATACCCATCTCGCTCGTGCGTGTGCTATTGACGCCATCAGGTTTGAAAATTTGGAGAAAAAATGCGAGCGTCCGTTGAGATCAGCKTGCGCCTGTGTGCAGCCCATGGGGAAATAGTTCATTGGTTTTTGGTCAATCAGAGCGCGCGTAATAATCTAGTTATATTATGAAAAGTATAGTATATTGAGTATAGTATGTAAATAATGTGATGTCACATAATTGGGTTGATATACAAGCATGTTAGATTACATATGCCAAACAGTTGGGTATTTGCAAAATTTTCGATGACATTGGTGAAAGCCGAGAATGAGTAAATAAGAATGAAAGTACTACAATACTTATCGTGTATATACTGTGAAATAGGAAAATATTATGCCCATATTAACAGGATGTGTTGAACATAGAATTCTGAAATAACATTTTTTTTCTTTCCAGATTCGTCAAAACCCCAAGGAAAACTCCTTCTATGTTCAAGGACTTAAGAAGGTGGCTGTTGGCAGCTACAAAGAAATTGAAACCAGAACAGATGAAGGTATATTTAATGTTTCCAAACAACGTGTCAAGAGAAGGCTGGGAAATTGGACTACTTCAACTATGCGGCAGCCATCTTGAATCGCAAGGCATTATGGGCTGTCCAGGGGTAAAACAAAACAAAGATGCTGAAATGTTAACCCCATGATCTTTGAGAAACTGTACATTTTTTTAATTCATCTCTTGTCTATTTGTTTTGTTGTGAACTGTTAGTGTCAATGGTCGCCATTACTATAACAAAGCTTTGTATATTTGCCCCCTGGATAACCCATAGTGCCTTGCAATTCAAGATGGCCGCAGCATTGTCAAAGTAGTCTATTTACAGCACACTCAACTCACAGGGAGATTTTTATGGAGAGAGGAAAATCGGAGAGAACCAGGAAAAAACCCTGTGCATGGAAATTATACAAGCTCTATCAACTCACATGTGTGGATCAGTTGATACTTGACCTTGCTCCCTCAGGATTCAAGTACACATTGATGAGATACAGTCAGAGCACATGCCTCCCTTGCCACCTATGCCTTACTATCAGAGTACAGAGCAGAAGTTTTCACAGTTGAACACTAATATGAAAATTTAATTTTTATTTCCTAAATACCAAATTTTGTTTAGGAACGTCCAATAGAACTGTTGCAGCAACACAAATGAATGCCACTAGCTCTCGTGCACACACCGTGGTGACAATCCAGTTTGAGCAAATTTCAAAGAATGAGTCTGGACAAGAAACTAAGAAGAGTAGTATCATTAACCTTGTTGATTTGGCAGGTATGTGTTTGATTATTGGAGGTAGCGCCAGGGTACCTTCAGCTCCAAGCTGGTATTCCAGGGGGATGAAATTGTGCAGTTTACTCCCCACCAGGGGCGTAGTAAGATCTCAATTATTGGGGGAGGAGGGGGGGCAATGTACCATTTTCCCACCAAATCCACAGGAATTCTGAATGAATTAATCAAATTTTGGTGCAGAAAGCAAACKTTTGCAAACACATGGCCCCCCCGTACTCTCCTTCCCTATGCTAGTGCTCCCCACTTTCCATTAGTGCTCTAGCTGTTTTACTACATTATCATTTTAGTGCAAACCGTGAAGCTTGATGTTTCGGTTGCCGAATGATGTTCCCCTCACCCCTWAATCAATATTTTCAGTTTCAATTCTACTTAAAGTGAATATTTGCATGGTAAATTATTAGAGGGAGTTTGAGCATTTCTTTGCAGAATTAAATGATAAACAACTTATCAGTAGGCTAAGCATCGGATACGGTTGTGCATTTTTACTCGTCACTTGTATTTTGGCTCGTCTAAAGGCTTACCAAATTACTCTGGACACGTAAACATACTATGTACTTATTGACTGAGTGGGAGGGCCGTACGGGAAAATATTTGCCTCGAGGTCTGTACAAATGACCACAAGCCAAATATTTTCCCGTATGGCCCGACCTAACTCAGTCAATAAGCATTTTATCATATGACCCTCCCGAAAATAAAAATAATTAAGAAAAAGAAAGCACGCGGATTCGAGCAGGGCCGGACAGGTTTTTCCGGTCGCTTACGTCAACCCGTCCGGCCCCCATCACATGACTTTTTCCAATGGTTTTATTAGAGCGTGCGAGCAGGGCCGTAGGGGTCATATGATAAACAGCCATATCAGATGCTTAGCTGACTGATAACCTCTATATATTGAACAATTTAAATGTAAATTATTTTTTCTGATAAAATGGAAAAATAATATTTTTCAGAATAAAGTGATGTGACAGTGAAATACCTCATAGGGTTGTTTTTGTTGTACTGATAGGTAGTGAAAGAGCAGACAGTACCGGAGCCACAGGTGACAGGTTGAAGGAGGGAGCAAACATCAACAAATCATTATCTGCACTTGGTAATGTGATCTCCTCCCTGGCCGACCTCTCTATGGGCAAGAAGAAGGTCTTGGTTCCTTATCGAGATTCAGCTTTGACCAAACTGCTGCAGAATGCTTTGGGTGGAAACAGTAAGACTATTATGATTGCTGCCTTGTCACCTGCCGATATCAACTATGATGAAACCCTAGGTACTCTCAGGTAATGGCCCTAGTTTGTTTGATTCTTTATTTAAACAATCAATCTGGTATCTCAATTAGTATTCATTAAGTCAGTCAGTTGTCATCTGGCACCCCTTCAGCTGTCAGTCTGTTCATCTATCTATTCCACTCCATCCATCCGTCCGTCCGTCCATCCATCCATCCATCCACCCACGCACCCACCCATCTACCCACCCATCCATCCATCCACCCATCCATC